AATGGTTACAGTGGACAAGGCAGACCTTGCAAGTATTCGGACTCGGATGGAATATGTAGACATGCATGCTGAGTTTCGAATCACCATTTGCGTGACATACGCCGTGCAAACAAATCCGTTATTCGAACGGAAAACTTGATTTCCAATATATCGGTAACCGGCGTGCTAATCCTGCTGAAGTAAGTTTCCCAAGGCAATGTCCGATACATCATCTACCGAGAAACGCCTCATACAATCGAGTTAAGTTGTCGTAACGCGTTGTGATCCGCGTCTTCACGGTCCACACTCTCGGGTATTTCATGTAGCAGGTGAACTTGAGGAGTATAGTTGCATGGCCGCTGAGGCCAAAAGGTTGGTCGATGGTTATTCTGTTGATTCTGAGGCTCTTAGACGCCAGAATTCTTTGCGAATAACCGGCCAATGATCACCATCGTATGCCTACTCTAATGTCGCGGGATAAAAGCTGTTTTGTGAATCATTTGCCGTTGAGCCAAGGACCAGTTAGGACGCCCAGTGATCAATGTCCCGAGGCTAATGTACTGTGGGCGATCTGTCTCTCCGGACGTAATTAACTGGGTTATACTGCAGCTGGAATCGAGGTTGTGCTTTAAAGAAATAAACAAATAAGTACATAATTGTTTGATTTCCTACAGCGTGAGATACGCCTGCGAAGGCATGAATACGGTATCAAGGTTAAACCTGCTGGATCGTTTTCATTAGGAAAACTGGATCATGCGCTTCATGTCGCCTTTCGTACCACTTCCCTTGATGCTCACATCTGGTTAAACCTGCTTGTCCGGATCAACCTAGGAGGTAACTGGGTACTGTGAATATGTCAGCTAAGTTTCACAGGGGAGGATAATCACACATTTGTATCAAAGATTGTTGGGCGTAAACTGCATTGGCGGATGAGATGCGGCGAGAGGAGAATTGTCTTGTCACTAAAGCCTCAGAGCATGCAGCTTGTGAACAGAAGTCGAGTGAGTGCCAGCTGCGTGGATGGAAGGACTAACAGAACGGTTTGACTGCCATGAGATTTGGAACTAGGAAAATAAGACTAACATGTTCCACTGCAGGTCAAAAACAAGGTGCTGTGTAGTGACTTGGAGATTCCCCAATATAACTATGTAAACGATTCTAAACTATATTAAAATTATAGTTTTCTTATGTATTAGGGAATTAGGCGGTTTGCCTGTTGGAACGTTGTTCCCGTCTGTCTGAAACACGAACACGATATCCGCCTTGGGCGCGCGCGACTCAACTGCGAACGACGCTCCGTAAACCTACTCGACACCCAACTACATCCTCCCTAGCTAGCTCTCTTCTGGTGCCCTATTTTTAGCATTAGCTAACTCACCTCCCGTCCAATCAACTTTTCCCTAGCTTAATTTTCGTGTGTTCTGCCCATTGCATTTGCTTGGCCGTCTAGTCTAGTACTGGATATATAGCGCTTGATCTTTGCGTTATAGCTTTATTCCTTCTAACACACTCCGCGGCACCGAAATCTACTGAGTTGGTGCCACCGATATGTCCATGACCTTTTTCAACTTTCAAAGCATTTAGAAAATCCCAGTTCATCTATGAGCTATATAGGCCCACGGAATATAGGTGTTGCGCAGTTGTTTAGATGGTGAATAGAGAAACCTCATGGAATTTCACCCTTTATTCAGCTTTCTGTGCTGCAAGAGTGGAACGGTGACAAATCGCATCATCTCTATCCAGATAACAAACGTTTTCGTTGCTAACCTTGAGACGCGTTAAGCGTACCGTTGTTTTGTTGATTAATGCATGAGTATAGGCTGTAAATATGCACAATTCCAGCAAACATTGACGTCTGCGCAATTGCTAGAATAATGTTGCATTGTACTTAGTTAGAAGTGATGGCAAAAAATGCAGTCTGAAGGACGTTTTCTTCGAACTACTTCGACAGAAAGCCTTTTTTCTCATCCTAAGTTCAAATACTAGCCGGATTTGGCATCTGTTTAGGCCAACCAGTTACACACAGTTACACACTGCAACTTGGAGTGGATACCTAGCATCAACTTTATAGTAATCAGTAACCTTAAACAAATATCCACGAGTCTTCTTCTTTGTTACTGGGAGTAGTGTTGTTCGCCTAAATGATACAAGCTACCGACGAGGTAGTGTCATTCAAGTAACCTTGTGTGTACCTGAAATTGCCCAGTGTCGCTTAGCTGCTAGTGGAAACAAATTTTGCATTTTTTCGGTTAGACAAAGCAGTACTGATCACTAACTTGTGAAACAATGAAACAATGACACTGGCAAACAACAAAGGTTTTACATGTCAAACTTGCTGGCCGGATTGAAAATTGCAGTACAGAGTACAAAAAAGCGCAGTATCGGAACCACTTATGAAATTTAAGGTAAGGCAGTGCTTACTCATTCTCACCCCCTTTCGTTAATTTATGTGGTTGTAGCTATACACGTTCGGTATGAGTAGAGTCCGTATTAATGTCTGAAGAAGGCACAATTTGTGTAGGAAAGTACAGTGGGCCCGCCGCTATAACGATAGTTTTTCAACTTTTGTTAGAACATAGGCAATTTAATTTGATGGAGCGATTCAAAGCGATTAAAGCTTCTGACGGCACATTAGAAGGGCTGAACTACTCATTTACACTCAGTTACTTGTAACAGGTTGATGTGACTGTTGAACTTCGGTTGGTGGTGGTATACATGAGAAGAGTCACATAGTATCTGATGCATGGGTTTGAGATCATTGCGCTCACTAGACACTTCGAGTATGTTCGGTCACCGCTGGAAAGCAATAAACAGAATCTGGAAGCAATCCTCTTATGGAAAATTTTACAACCCTACGAGTTTACTAGACCATGTGATATTTGTCATGTGATATATATGTGCGAGCCCTTAACATGAGTGTATGTGTAGCCAGAATGTGGACTAACTGGCAGTTTTATTCCTTTAGCCGGTGAGCATTCATCCTAACAGTGAGCCACAATTGTCTATGTTGATTGATCCATAGGAGGTCCATTTCACATTGTGTCGGGTAGTACTCCGAATATTCTCTTCCAACTAATAGGTATCACCGCTCTGACTTAGAACTTGTGCAGAAATATGGATTTGATGAGAGCCGTAGGTCAAAATAATATACAAAACAATATATAATTAGGTGACTTATGGAGTGATCTCCAACTGTTAAAGTGGCCTCTGTTGGTTCCTTTGGGTTGATCGTAAGCCTGAGATATGTACCAGTGTAGAAATTCTTAAAATGAATTGTATTAAAAGCAAATACTGCCTTTTAGATTATGTACCTCAATTCAAAGCATAGGCAGAGACCACGAAATGCAAACCAGATACAATGTTCGACATATTCCGGTTGGTTGCGAAGCAATTGTGTGGTGGATTACAGATCTTACTGCTACGTGGTTTCGTCACAGATGATGAATATAATACGTTAAGTCAGTGAGCACGCACACTGCGCAGATGTATGGTTTAGCAATGTTGTGGCCTAAAATCTCCATGGTAAATTCGCCGTACCATGACATTGCTGAATGGCTGAGTTACATGCTTGAATCGGTGAGTAGATCCCTAGTAAAACCTGCACTGCCGAACACCTTTGGAGTGCTTCCCCATTTAGGGGCATGAAGTTAGACCATAAGCACATGTATTCACTTGACGTCCAGTCTCTTTTCACCAACGTTCCGCTGAACGAGACTTTTGACCACCTACGTGAGTTTATCATGAAAAGCAACTTTTGACTATAGCTTCCCACGGAAATATTTAGAAGCTTGCTCTTACTGTGCACAAAAGGTGACAAGTTTTGCTTTCAGGGAAAAACATATCGACAGACAAATGGTGTGGCTATGGACAGCCCATTAGGCCCCTTACTGGAGCGCGTATTCATGGGTAAGATTGAAAAGAAAGACAAAATCATTAAGTCCGCAAATTTATACGAAAGCTACGTTGATGATATATTGTTAGTCATGGATTCCGATGAAGACATTGCAGTTGCAGGCAAAGCTCTCAATGATGTGAATCAGAATCTTAGTGTGGCGTGTGAAACACCACCACAGTCGTCCTCAATACTTAGACATACTACTTACACGACAATCAAATGGCTCGATCAAAAGCGCAGTCTACCGAAAGTCGCCCTGGACGGAACAGTACTTAAATTTTAAATGCATCTGGCCATTTCAACAAAAGAGCTCTTTAGTTCGAACGCTGTTTCACTGGGCTTATGTGATTTGCGCCACGAACATACTGGTGGTGAGAAGGAATTGCTGTTTGACGTGCCAGAATCTAATGGTTATCCATTGCAGTTCATAAAGCACTTTAATGAGTCAATGAAACGAGCTAGAGATAACCATACAAAAGAAACTGATTTTTACTGAGTTACCCCTCAAAGGTGACCAACTCATGAAAGTCACCACTAAAAGAATAAGTGTATCAGTGAAAAGACATGCGATGCGGCAGCGTTACGCCTGTTCGAGACCAAAAGAGGACTGCTTAAGTGTTCAGTGAAGACACCGTTGTCGAAGCAGTGCATGTTCCATTGCTTATGCAAATGCACACGTAGCTGTGAAGACAGTTATTTTGGGCGCAGTGATCGAAACGTAGGTGTTCGAATTAATGAACACAATCCAGAACGGCTCCGTAAGCGGATGGAACATGTGACGTTTGCACTCGGCGAACTGAGAAACTAAATTACTTCCGCAAGTACGCATGCACAAAGAGTTAGGCTGACATATTATTCAAACCTGAGTGGATGTGAAGGCGTTATGGCCTGTGTAGCTGCCATCACACCACAAGCATCACTAAGCTGAGAATATGGATTTGTGTTGGGCGTGGAGGTCAGAGAGCACACCATTGCTCTCCCATCAGACTACGCTCTGGAATTAACAGTGTCGCACTAATAAAAACTGCTGGGATTTGTAGGTATAAACCGGCGAAACCATTACCTACGAATCTGTCAAACACACAGGACCAATTTGTATTTATAGCTCCTTACCTATTTCACTCACCGGGTCGTAAACATGCTGAGGATAGGAAACACCGTTCGCTTGGCTTAGAACAACAGCCGTTCGAATAACCTCCTCGACCAGATTCTGTGGGAGAAAGAGTAAGCTTTATTTGATAAACTGTGGGGAGGTTGATGTTCAAGGATTGTTAAAGATTTTCAAATGGCATTTAGCAGTTTGGTTGAGGTGTAACACATCAATTGTTAAATCATCACACATGTTACTTACTAACATTGTGGGAGATATTACCACGCAACATGTCCAAAAACGAAGTGGCATTACCCGAGGTTGCTCACATTGTCACGGTGGCAAGAGACTAGCTCCGATACCAAACCACGCACCTTGTGAAAATTAGTCACTATGTTGTCTCTTCAAAGCCACTGGTCAACATTTGTGGACATACATGTCTTAGATTACAGTTTTAGATTTAGAACGGGAACCCCGGGTATGAGTAAGTCAAGTTCCATTAACTTTAACCATCAGTGTTAAACTCCAGTCCACAAACTACTGAATCAGAGTGATCTAAAAACTGTTTGAGTTATTTCCACGAATCCTATACACATAAATATCATGTAGCTACGTTTACGAGTTGGGTAGTCAGAGGAAAAACAACAACGGTATTCACACCATTAGGCAAATGCTGAGAGCAGTATAATTTCCCTTTCGAAATTGCTGATCAACTTCATCTTACCTTGCATTCCAAGCTTTATCTAACACGCTAACTATTCGTGATTTTTCCTCTTAGTAAGTGATCCAGATGTAATGCAGTGTCAACTCTTTGAAGGAGGAAAGATCGACAGTTGAGGCAGCAGAAGGCATTTCCTTTTGCCGTTACGTGTGCTTGGACGCTGAGTTGAGGCAGACTCTGACAAACCAAGTTGTTGTCTCCACTCATCTCGTGCAGAGGATTTTTCCAGTGGTTATCTCTGTCCCTAGTTCGACTAATTGTTATACCACAGTGCCCTTTTTGTTCTAAGCGGTTCCATTCAATGTTAAATGCTTTATCCGTTGCGACGAAAATCAGTGTGGTTACTTTGGCCAGCTAAGTGTAACGTGTTGCTCGGAAACACAACCGAAGCTTCCAGTTTCCAAAATATTAAAAAATGTTTTCAAACCGTTCTGAAATTAGAAGTATTGACTGAGTTGCGGACGTGTCCCTAAGTCTCGATACCTATACGGATTCCGCGTTTACAATACGCATATTGAATGCGTTCAATTGGTTAGCCTTGAAGATCATTAAGAAAGTCGTTGTATTCGCAAAACGTGGTGTTATAAAGCCTACGCTATTCTTCAGCAGTTCTTTGTCAAACCACTGGATAACTTATACAACACCTGCCAGAATGGCTGTCAACACAAGCAAGGACAGATTGATACGATAACAAACGCCTGAGTGAAGTCCGCCTCCACACACATCGACTGAGTCCCCAGTTGCACAGCGCCTTGACACAGACTGATTAAAACAAGATGTTAAGCCAACATAAGGAAGGAAATCAAAATAACGACAAATTTGTAAGTTGGATTATTTGAGGCCTGTGCATTGGAAGGCGACCAGTTCAGATGGCAGACCTGGAGCTATCAGCAACAAATGCGATGTAATTTATGTTCATTGAGACAGCATAAACTATAGGAGCAGGGTTTGATTATGACTACGGGTAAGTCTAAGTTATGGGCGGAAGAAGCATATCCTAGTATTAAGACGGCTTCATCGGAATTACCCTTTTCAAAGCTAACAAATATTATCATAATTTTGCAGCCTTGTGCGCCGAATCTGGCACCACTAGAATGCATTATATTAATGGTCCTAATTGAAGTTCCGAGTATTATCGTCAATTGGAAGATCATAGTCATATTGTACAAGTCCATTACTCAAAAAATCTGAGAAGAAACCTAGAAACGGGACGCTAAAAACCGGACTAGAAAATGACTGCAAAATTCCTTGGTACATAAGCAAATGTTGGAAGTTGGCAGGGAACTAAGGAGTTTAAGAGATGATCTTTGACAGGGAAAATATTATAGCTCAGTACCAAGATCAGCGGTCCCACTTAGACCCTAGGGGTTTAGACAAATACTTAAGACAATAAAACGTTTTAACTTCTCGAGCAGGGTCCTGTCACAACTTTGCCAATATCTCTGGCACTGACACGTTTATACATGCAGGAGCAATGAACAATGATTTATCATGGGATAAAAACAAGTACTTGACATTTCCCGTAGGATGGATGAAATCAAAATATGTCTGGGTCATCTATCGAACGTCTGCCGAAGTGAATAGTTTGATAATTAAAAAAGGCGAAGACCTACTCTAGTAGCTCACCGAAAAGAGGGTGATGTTACATAAATGATGTATAATCATAACACGGAATCAAAGCGATGATTGCTAAACCAACTAAACCGTACAAATTGGAGTTGGAAAATCCGCTGTGGTTGGGTTCCTACAAGCAACCTCTATTGAAACCTCGGTTCACTTGAGGAGGACCTCGGTCATTCCGATCACAAGGACCGTAGGTGAAATGGAAATATTTGGGTGTTGCTCATCCCAATACTGGCACCCGTCGACCACTGTTTCGTCCTGATTTGGACATATCAGGTGAAGATAGCCAGCGCTGGGGTAAAAACGGAGCCTAGTGGTTCACGTTGACGCCATAAACACTACGCCACTGAGATGCGTGAACCTAAGTCCCAATAGAGATTGCTTGTAACAACCCAACCACACAGCGAATTCTCCAAGTCCAACTTTGAATTTGTTTCCGCTGTACCAAGCGTTGCTCACGGATCTCAGTGGTATAGTGTTTCTGACGTCAGCGGTGAACCATTAGGCCCTGATTTCCACCCCAGCGCAGGCTATTTCCACCTGATGATTCCAAACCAGGAAGAAACCGCGGTCGAAGGGTGCCAGTGTTGTTATGAGCAACACCAAACTATTTCCTACTGAGGCATATTAATAAGACTTTAATTGTCACCATGGAACTTAAATATTTTACTGGTGCACCACCAGTTCTTGACTGCCTGGCTCATAGGAATAGAGGGATTGTAAAACCAGCGGTATGCCATAGACCAGGGACTCAGCTTGGGCAGTGCGATAGGTTTAGGTCCGTCAAAGATTGTTTGTTCTGGGACTGTTTTCACATTGTTGCACAGAGCCTAACTCCTGTGCATACACGGGGCAAGGTGATAAAGGTTGCTGCTGGACTATGAATATCCGAGGTGGTTAGGGAGGTACCAGTTGCAAAAGATATTAAACACACTTTCGGTACCTACTGCGGTGTGAATTTAGATAGTACAAGTATTTTATAATAAAGGAACTTCGGAGACTATCTGAAGAAGAAGCAAGAGGAAAATGACGAAGCTTTTCCGAAAGAGTCAAGAGTTGCGTCCAAAGTTAATGTATCTGAAGTACTCATTTCCGGCGAACATGACTACCAGTTGCAACCATAACACTGGCTTCAGGGACTGTATGAAGTAGGTAGGAAGATGAAAGAACACAGGAAATGCGTTTGTTTACTGCGTGGGAAGGAACCAGGATCCAAAGGTTTACTGGGTTATTGACTTTTAGCAATGCACGTGTTATATCTGAGGCATGAAATCGCCTTAGATTATGTACAGAGTATGAGGAGGAGGATTGAGGATCCAAGTCACGCTCTTGTTCAGGTGCGGTGGCTTTGGCAATACAGCAGACTAAGTATCGGACATGACCAACGCAACTAATACTGATCTCATGCTGCATTGGCCGTTGCTCAATTGGGAAGAAGGGCAACCTTAGCTACTGTCACAGGGGTGGATACTTAAAAACATGCCACCGCTAGCTCCTCCCCTCTAATTTCGTGCCCATCCTTTTAACACACTCCGCTCTCAGTCCTCATTCCACTTGCCACATGCTGCCTGCCTTAATCCCAGCTCCTAGTTCAAGCGGTTGTCCGCTACATTCGCACGCTTCTGCACAAAGTGCCGAAGATCCAATGATGGCACATGCGCAATCTCTTGGATCGCAACACGATTCTTTGCCTGACGCGACGCACTGTACTGGTCTTCAATGGAACTCAGTCGCTACCGCAATCAGTGAGACCCCCCTAGCCTATCAAAGCAAAATGTGTGAGGAAAATGTAGCTCGCACGTTCTACCGCGTGAGAAACGCCACCACGGTACCAGGTAAACATGGGGTCGGATTTGTACTATCCGATTGCCTGCATAGCGAATTGGTGAGTGAGCCGACTGGCAACAGCCCACAATTGCCGACTGTTCGCCTCCGACTTGGAAGAGGTAACTTTGCTACTTTTATTCGCACAGGTAGCCCCCAAATGTTATTATGATGCCATGGGAGATCCGGTTTACACTCAGTTTTCTTGCATGAAACTCTCTGTGCTGAAGAGTAATGCCAGTTGCTACAGTGTGGACAACCGAATCGCGCCGTATGGTATTGGCACAGCCGATAGGAACGGTGATCAGCTGCATTAACTGTGCGCTAGTCACGGCCTGACGAGTGCGAACACACAAGTTGCACTATGTACGAATGAAATTGCTACTTGGAGTGGTCATACTCATCTGCTTGACTATGTGTCATTGTTACAGAGCGTGACATGCATGTGGTGAGCATCGCACCTGTACTGTGTGGAGCTGAGGGTGGCACTGATCATAACTCAGTGCGGATCAACTTGTAAATAAATGTACTGTTCTTCTACCATGAATAGGTGGAAAAGAAAATTTTTTCCCCAAAGTACTGTTGAGAAAAGGATGGAACTGGAGAAGGCGATCGCTAGCCGCCTTATCGAGCTCGACTGCATTATATCAGTCAGCGACTTGTGACATCTCATTAAACAACGCGTTACTGCTGCTGCCGGCGAATCGCCCAAGCGTGCTGACAAGATTGCAACCATAAACGCATTGGTATCAAAGAAGAATATTTCACATACTGCGCATAATTAGGGTGCAGATAATCCGGGGAAGAAAGGTGTTTTGTAAGAATGCGTGAATGTTTGACAAGGGAACCTGTTTCATCAAGAATATTTGGTAGCCGGAGGATGTGGAGCAGATGAATGGTACTCCGAACGCTGTCAATCTATGCACTATTGTTCTATAAATGCCCACCTCAT